ATGAAGTTAAAGAAACATTAGACACCACCAAAGTCAGAATTTTTAGTACAAACTGAAACCTGGGAATTAATACAACCATTATCAAAAAGGTAAAGGTATTTATAAACAAAGTCTACTCAAGATACTTCGAATCCGTTGACCACAAACAATCAGCAACGACTTCTGTGTCAGAGAAGAAATCGGCTTCCAGTTGTGGAAAAAACTGGGAAAAAACATTGGAGGTTAATAAGACACACATTTTGGAAATCATCAAACTGCATCATAAAGTATGCCATGACTTGGAATCCTTAAGGCAAAAGGGAAAGAGGCCAGGAAACACATTGCATAGGGAATTGGAGGCAGACATTAAAAAGATGAATAACAAATGGCGATATATGGAAGAGTGAGCCCAAGACACAGTAGGTTAGGGCTTAGATGGTGGTTGGAGGTAGTCAACAGGAAACCCTGGACCACCCAGTGGTTAGGTTAGGGCTTCCTTATCGGGGACCTATGCTTCACAAGGAATAACAGGCGTAAGTAAAGAAATAGCTATTAGTAATAAGTGATTTGTGTAACAACAGTACCTAATAGTAATGCTCATGGCATTCATGATGTTGATGTGATAACAGGGCCGCAATATATATATATATATATATATATATATATATATATATATATATATATATATATATATATATAACGCGAAAACATATTCCCCAATAAACTAAAATAAATGGATTGAAAAATTGCACAATGTTATCGAAAAGAGCGAGTTACTGATGGGAACGAACAGTTGGTTTAACATACTGTGTTTCGACGTATGTATGTTATTCGCACACTTTTCATAAATGTTTGTGACAACAAATTCACCTAAATTAAATTTGGTTGAAAATATTTTAAGAAAGTCATCTATCCTGTCACATTTTATCGAATCAAATTTAATAAAGTGTTGTTAATCATTAATCTGTCTTTATAAATGACACTTCAATCCTCGTTGATTATGGAGATGGGCTGGATCTGTCAACTAAACTGAATTTGAAATATTGTCTGAGAAAAATTGGTTTTGCTGTTTTTAACAAACCCATAACAAGTTGATAGAACTTTTATAGAATATAATTTAATTACTAGCGAGAAATCTCAACAATTGACTACGGTAGTCATCTAGAAGTATAAAACAGGCTTCATAGAAAGCCTTATTTATCGAATGAATGATACTAATAGGTAGTGAATACGATATAATGGGACGGGTAGTGCTGATGCATAACTGTTGAGACTATTATGAGCATGTTTACTATTTATGTTATTATATAACTGGTAAATAATTGTCTTGTTGCATTTCTATGTCCTCTGATTTCTAAACTTTCATTTTATCCATAAATCATTATCCCAGGTTTATCATTAGTTGACTATTTCCATATCAATCTTGTGTTGTATCACTTATGTCTAAGCTAAGAGATACATTATGATTCCTTAATTGTGTTACTGTGTAGTCAAACATATCCAGTATATTGTTGTGTGAGTTGTCAGTCATGATTTAATTGAGCATAATAAAGAGGTGATTTACTCTTTACATTTATCTTTTGGTTGACCACTGGTTTATGAGTTGGAGGACCAATAAGCAATAAAGTCTTAGTTGTTGCTCATTGGTCTGTATGTCAGTTGGCAAATAGGTCACCTGTTTTACTGGTAATGTATGTGAACGGTTCGATGATCAAACAAGCGAGAGATTAGATAACAGCTTTCTCATTACTAAGACCCGACCACACAAGACCCAATAAAACCCAAAAAAGCAATCTGTTTGTCCCCTACATGACAATATTTTTTAGTTAGTCAGAATGATTTATACGGTGAACGCGTGGATAGGTGGCCTTATCTGAGTAAATAACTCAGCTGTTTATTATAGACTGGCTAGGCTAACATTCGGTTTACTAAACTATCTTGGAACATCGTGTAACTTGGGAATTCATCCTTCACCTGTTTAGTGTATCAAAGGGATCGGAAAGAATTTAAGTTTAGTATAAGCAACGCTTATGAAACTACGCCTTCCTCATTTTGATAATAAATTTGCTAGATCACAAGGAGTACTATTGGAAAATACTGTCCAATCAAATGTCTACTTTAAAAGGAATATGAAAGATTTTTCATAGGTGAGTCTACAAGCATTATAAACCTAAAAGACGAAGTTCTGAAAGACGTCGTTTTGAACAACAAACATTACATTAAAATAAAATATGTAAACGACAGGCTGAATACTTTCAGACAGTTTCCTAAAATTAATTATAATCAGTACTGCTACAGGTCATAGAAAATAAAGTTCTTTCATTAATAGATGAAACAAGATAGCAGGAACTGGTCTAAAAATGAGGAAAACAAAAAACCATATTATCAAAAGCTGGAAAGCAATTCATGTTTTGCATGCTGCATGATTAGAATCACAATTGTAATCGTTATTGAATAAAGAAAAACTCAGAAAAATAAATAAGCAGACAAGCTGTAATTATTTAAAAATATAATTTCTATAAGTTTCATAAAAACTGAAGTGAGTAAAGTCGTTATTTCAAGTAAGGAAGAGCTACAAAATACAGGCTATGTACCACAGTTAGCGGGTATAACCCTAAATTACTGACCGTTTCTTCTATGTTGATAAGGCATACTTACCATTCATTCGCAAACATCCTTAAGGAAACTGCTTTAATTCAACAGAAACTTAACATTCAGTCAGTCAGTCAGCTACAACGTAGGACCAGGCACATATATGCATCGGTCCAAGTTGCCATACCTTATTAGCACAGCAAGATGAACATGGAATTCATAGAAGTAGTTAATTCTGAAACTTAACATATATGTGTCTTTTCCCTGGTACAGATACATTTCACTGGACACCAGATTCCCAACGAGTTGTACAAGGTCGTTTGAGACAATTCACGTAACGTATACAACAACCAACTGTGGGAAAGAACAAACCAGATCCCAACGGAGGAAGAAGCGCTGGAAGTGGATAGGACACACATTGAGGAGAGCACCCCACTGCGTCACAAGACAAGCCCTCACATGGAATCTTCAAGGCCAAAGGGAAAGAGGAAGACCAAAGAACACATTACGCCGAGAAATGGAGATAGACATGAGAAAAATGAACAAGAATTGGATGGAACTAGAAAAGAAGGCCCAGGACAGAGTGGGTTAGGGAATGCTGGTCGGCGGCCTATGCTCCATTAAGAGTAACAGGCGTAATTAAGTAAGTAATGTAAAAAGCAAGTAAATGAAGAGCCTATATGCATAACAGGCACCACTGTCAGTCAATAAACAAAAGCACCCGGCTAAAACTGAGTGGAAAACCTTTCCGCCATCACGTTTTAAAAAAGTTATACAGAAAGCTTAATGAATGGTTTGTTAAGATTATTCCAATCTCAGCATACAATCGTAAAACTGAAAGCGTAGTTGTCATTATGAATAAAAGTGCTTCTTTCAGTTATTATTTATACGAAGTTACTACACAAATTGATTATAAATAGCATCTGACGATGATATATTTTGTTAAACTGCACTTGATAGTTTTTGAAGATATTCGCATATAGAATGTGTGACTTAGTTGAATATCACTTAGTTGATTGCCCATAACTACTCAAAATTAGATACAGCCAATCGTATATTCGAATTACTTATCTTAGTAATTATATTCTAAACCCATTTGACAGAATCCAATCAATGGTAGCACTTCATGCATAGAGGCACATTAATCAGATAGGACTCTAAAAGCAAGTGATTATTTCATATTTATTACCGAACCAAAGTCACTCTTAAGCAACTGTCATTAAAAGCTTGAAATCAGACGTCGAAATATAAAGGTTTGTGAGATACATTTTCCCAAGTTCACTTTAGAAATTAACAAAAATAAACAACAGTTTGGTGTCCAAAGGGTAAAAGGACTGTCTGCAATGTTCTCAACCAACACACTCGAAGACAAGAAAAACATAAATTGCACAATCCCTAAGAGCTTAACTAAACGTCCAAGGTTACACAAATTAACGCTATTGATTAATATGACAATAGGACCAACCTTGTACACAAGTATGGAATTATGAAAGGATATTTAATTGTATTCTAAAACACCATCAGTGTATTACTAATTTACCCCTTAAAACTAAGTGTAGAATTGAATATCACCGTTAAACTAAGCGCAAAATCAATGGGAAGATGGTGATTGTGGCTGAAAGAAAACCTAGGCCAATATCGTTTCTTTACAAGCTGTCGCCCTAAATTCAAATGACTGAGGGATAGGAACAGATTTCAAGACAAATATAAGCTGCGTATAATTCCCTTTCATCAGAAGACAAATACATAAGGTATGTTTGTCTAGCCAAACTTCGCATATAACCCCCGTGCCAGGAAATCGCCCTTCATACAAAGCGACAAGGATATTTTATTGTAGAAGCATAACGTATGATCTTATTCTCCGGCTGAATATAGGCCTTCACCCTGAATGGGGCTCCGATTTAGTACATAAACTTGCAAGTGTCCCATTATCTAACTAATCCTACAAAAGGACTAGCGATTTCGAAAGTTACTGTAACTTAATTTCTGGTCTTTTTGTTAATATCTTATCTACTATCATGTGCTTATTATCATGTACTAACTTTCGTTCCTAATCTGTTATAAAAGTAATGACAGTAATAATCATTACAGTCACTCATTCCCACTTAATTGTATCATCCGTAAAACAACAGAATGACAAATTCATCACACGAAAGTCTATCACATGCAAATTACGAATCAATATGAATGTAGTTGTCCAATTGGTCAATCATATTTGGCCAATCTGTAAACTGCCCATCTAGATTTTGTGTAGCAAATCATTAGTCTTGTCACCCTTCTTTTTCTGATTGGCTCGAGAAACTGGATTCACGGATGTTGTGTTCATGACGAGAACATAACGGAAATCACTTTTCAAAACACCATTATTTCGTCAGGCTATACAGAAAGTAGCGGTCGGATTTGTTTGAAGTACATTATAGTTTGTCAGGATGTGTAAAGTAATCTCGAGTACAATTTTAGTACTGTTCAACATCCCACTTGTGGTATGCTTCCTTTTTTGAACTGTTGATTTACATGTGTTGTTTAATTAATATCTCATTTTATTCTGTCAACGTAAAATTAATGAATAACGTTCATAAGTAACTATAGTTAGTTGAGTTTTCTAATCATCACAATCTGATGAAAAGTTGGTTTAATAGGTCTTAACTGAAACCATTTAATTAATGTTTAAAAGTATAGAGTGGTAACTAACTAGGACTAACTTTTCAACCTGAATTGAAATTACCAGACAAACTGGCTTATCAAATGTTGAGGACTTTGTCCCTATGCTTTAAATTAGAGTTTAATCGTCCAGTCTTCATGAGGTGGACAACGGCTTTCTGTGCTAAGATTATTCCAATATCAGCATACAATCATAAAACGCAAAGCATAATTGTCAGTATGATCATGATTTTCAAATATTTGCCCCTGTATATGATTAACCTAGTGAAGCAAAATCCTAGTTAAGCCTTCAAACACGGCCATCTATTTGATGCTGATAGTATATTTTAACTCTGTATGACTATTGGTAAATCGTGCAAACTGGATTTCAGCATTGTACAATTCCACTATCAAGAACAGTTCAGTACATCATGAACACGATAATTATAAGTAAAATAATTAGCTAGGCCAGAAAATTGCATTCAAGAGAACATTTTTGAAGTAACTATATTTTTCTTGTGATGGATAAACTGATTTAATACACTACTTGTAATCCAGGAGAACATATTCATTTTGTTTTATCGTTAAGCATTACTGAATTCGTCCATATTCACTTGTTCTTTTCGATTTCTTGATTAATCATATGAATTCAGCTCCTTTATTTATTTATCTGATTGAATTTGTTTTAGTGTGAAGTTCAATAAGACTAGCTGATACATATTTGTACCCGGTCCCACATTCATCATTAGATGACTAAAGCTGATAAGTAGAGCTTCCCTTCTATTTTAATTAATGACTAGAAATGTGCAGCAAGCTGATATTTTTTCTTACCAGTAAGTTCGGCCAAAAGCACCTTAAGTTGTCCAATCATGTAAATGAAAAGGTTTTTTTAAGTTTACGAAGGATGTTACAATGACATTTCTGATTGGATAACAAGAAAAACACCTTTGTACAAATTCAAAACTAACACAAATATCACTACTGATAGTGGACTCCGGTTTTAATACTAAGGCTTTTTGATATCTGATTTGAACTACCAGCAGCTGTGATGTAGCCACATTTGTATTTGGGTTCATTCGAAGCTACGCAACTATACTGTCCGATTATATTTGCATTATTGATTTGTCTGACATTGTAAATCTTAGAATATTTGAGAATTTATTTTCGTTCATCGTAAGTTGTTGTTCTTCCAATGTATAAAAGCCGAAAGATTCGTTAGCACATATGTTTTAAACAAACCTAAATACACTTTAATGATATGAGTATTAGGATACTATTAAACTTTAAACAATGTAATATAAAGGCTATTTGGTTCTGTATGATAGTGATTGGTATGAAAGGGTGTCACAATATGTAGGAATTGTGGCTTTCAGTGTAATTTAAGACGACTAATAAAACTGATAAAGTACTTGGGTATTCTCTGAGTTTAAACAAATGACTTGCAGGCTAACAATTAACTCTCTGAGTAATCGAACGATTAAGGCCTATTTTTACTTCATTAAGAGTGGTAAGAAGAGTGAATTGAATGTTTGTTTTTTATTTATCTAGCTTAATACTGAAGGTAAAATTCAGCAATAAAAACTTGTTTTTGATTAGTAATCGAAACTATTTCATTTATTTTTGATTGGAGATCTCTCTAAATACAGAGATAGATTAAGTTGAGGAGTTTTTATCATACTGTTACAAGTACTTAGATTTTTTGCTCATGTGTACATCTTGATTTCAACATAAGCAAAAATAATAACTCTCCAAATATACTACTAACTATAAGTGGAGTGAAAAAGAATTAAATGAGAAGTAGCTAAAAACTTTGACTGTGAGGTTTAACAAAGTGGGGTAACTAAGAAGCTAAAAAAACTACGAAAACTACCCGTATAACACTTATGTCACCGTTGATTTAGTAATTATATTTTGAAGTTCTTATTAATTTGAGTAGTAGCGAAAGTAATAATTCTTTAACATTTGAGGTAGGCGAGTTCTTATACCTCAAAATCGTCGAAGGGTAAATACACTTGACTTTTTTAAGACTGATGATCCTGAATGGATCTGTCCAGTTTGTATTCATTCGATGAAATGAGCTACATTATCCACTAGTCATGTGGTGTTTAATTGTAACCACTAATCCACAGTGATATGTATTATTTACTTGACTATATTACTGTATGAATTATATAATTATTAATTGATCAATCAAATATATCGTTGAAATTAAATTAGGAATACAATTTCTTGAGTTCGAGATTCATTTAAGCAACAATTTCCGATATCCGATTGACTCCATCACACTAGTTATAAAATAAGTCAGTAACTAAATATCATGAATCGTAAAAGTTTATACTTCCCCATTATTGATATTCATGGATGAGTTAATTGATCTGTTGTAGCATATAGGGTCCTTGTACAATTTTTTCGTTTGTCGAAATCATATCGATATTATTTTATCCACGGCATGTGATTAATATTCACTAAACAAGTGATCTTTCACTACTCACTGGCATGATAGATAACCGCTTGACGTTTGAAGCAATTTGTTTTAAATTGGAATCTCACTAGTAAGACATAACTAACGAGTACTCAAAAGTGTGACTTACACTCCTGAGATTTAATTGATCTTAGTACTAAGTGGAAGTATCTTAAAAGCAAAGAAGATTTACTTAGGTAACTTCTTCAATTTATGGATAACTTTTATCCAGAACGTATATTCAGTAGGTAGTGATTGGAAACCAGAGGGAACCAGATATATATTTCACGATATTTTGAAAATCTTTATCAATGCTCATTTACAGTCAAACAAAAAAGATTGTTTTCGAAGTAAGAGATTTGCATTTATCTAAAAATACTTCACTCCTATACCAGACTTTTGTCTTAATATCTGAAGTCCCTCTATACCCACGGTTGAATTGGTTTGATTTTTTTAAAAAAAGATATCCACCTGAAGAAAAAAAACATTTTTTGGATATTTTAGGAGATACCCAGTTCAGTTCCTAATGAAATTCCCATACATAGTTGAAGTGTAATTATTTAGGAAAATAACTGTGGTATTCTTGCCAAAACATTATTCTATTCCTCTGTACATGAGATAAACAGATCATTAAATATATTTAAAAGAAAACCAGAGCAATTTGTTTTCCAATGTGTTACTGTTCGCTGGTATATTTTGTTCTGTTTCTTGCTAACATAAAAACAACAAAACATTCCTATCTATTAAACATTTACATAGTTTCCCAGGTGTTTTTCTTTTAGAAAAATGATCATGATTACCTGATTTGAAAAGCAAGTTATACAATTACTGATTGTTTATTAACATAAATAAATATCTAATCTTTTAATTGCAAAACTAAGTCCATCAACTATTGTTTTTACACCACAGTAAGGTAAAGCAAAAACTTGCTAATTATATGTTATTTTAAGGTTCAAGTTAGACAGTCTGCATATTAATATAATTCATAAGATGGCTATCGGAATAAGTTTAGAATAATTCAATTTGAAATGGATTGGATTATCTTGTTGTTAATATTTCTGACTGGCCAAAAACTGATTAACTTTCAGTTAAAAATATCAACAATGAAATAATCCAATCCATTTCAAATTTAATTGATACTCATATTTGTTGCATTAGTGAGTGGTTATGTGAACTCAGTAGCTAAGTGGGCAACGCGATAATGTTTAAAGTGAACGATCCTGGGTTTGATTCTTGTAGGATCCAGGCACACTGACTGACGAGTCCTAAATGAAAGGAAACACGCATCCCGGATTCTACATCTAGCCACATTCCATCTACTCTATGCTAAAATTTAAAATAGTTTGTATGTTACAAACGGTAGGCTGTTATGTAGTAGAAAACTGCGCTCATGTATTTTATTTATGTACATAAGTGTTGGTGCTTCTCTAAGAATAGTCTTCTTATCATTTTTTGAGCTGAACTAAAATGATTTTTTTAGTTGAAAATAAACTATTGACTATGTGATGATGGTATCTTGTTAATGAATGAACTGGAGATTTTGGTTAGAGCTACACTTCTGCTTAAACTACATCGTACTTGAGAGAGACATTACTCATAGAAAATGTATAGATACATACAGTAAAATATTATTAAGGTAAAAATCTATTTATAAGTTTCTAATCTTTACTGCGATAGAGTTATTTTTGTTAATTAGCGTAATTATCAATCTTCCTATAACCAATATTGTCATTCAGTATTCTCTGTTACGTTTTTGAGTTCCAAGTTTAAATTTTACTTCAACTGTTGAGACACTTTCTTATGGATTTTTAATAGATTATTGGTTTAGGACTTGTGGTTTTTGGTGCTTTAATACGATGGAATGAAAAACTTTTGGTTGAACGAATTACTCCTACGATTATCGAAGAGATAGATGATGAGAATGCACGTGAAGCTGCTCAAAA